AATTCCAGGTCTGTGTGTATTTATTTCTTCACTATGTTCTATTTTTTACTGACTTTAATTCCAGGTCTGTGTGTATTTATTTCTTCACTATGTTCTATTTTTTACTGACTTTAATTCCAGGTCTGCGTGTATTTATTTCTTCACTATGTTCTATTTTTTACTGACTTTAATTCCAGGTTTGCGTGTGTATTTTTGTGGAGAAAGAATTTAGAATAGAACAATAATTCCGGTTGTGCAAATGAGGAAGATAACATTGAAACTGATTTATCAGCTCCGTTCACTATCAGCTAAACAGCAATTGTATGTGTTGTTTTCAAAAGTCACTTTTCGAGTTCCTGTACCTAACCAATAACTAAAGTTAAGTGCGCCATCAATACGCGGAAAGTTATCATTCCTACTCCATAAATTGTCATTTAATTACATATGAATGATTTCTAACATAAGACGAATGAAAAAATAGTTAGTGTTTAAAAACATAGGTTTCGACCAAATACCAATTTTTACTCATATATATATAACGAATATTCTTTCAGCAGAAACAGTTAGTACTCCTATACATTGTCCTGGCTTTTGTTAAGGTGAAACACACCATGAGCAAAATATATGTTTTCCAACTACAGGGTTCGCGTCGGCCAGCTTTAGGCACAAGTTGATGATAGGTCTGCATTTCTGTCTCTTACATGAATAGTCATTGTGAGATGTATCCTCAATGCCGCGGGGCTAGAGACAGGACCACGTGCTTTCGCGGCACGTATGGTGAACACATACCTCCTTCTCTGAACCAGCAATTAGGGGTCTCCATTGAGAACTTCAGGGCTAATTGCTTGGTAGGTGCGCAGTCATAAAACCTGCTTACAGACCAATCGCTGGCCCCCGTTGAGCGTCAGCAGCGCTGGAACCATAACTCCGTGGGCCAAACTCCCGGTAAGACTGTGTAGATTTCCGAAAGTGCCGTCCGGCTCAAATCTTTAGAACTACTTCTGCCGACAGTGGCAGTTAAAGATAATTCTCTTGCAAGCAAGCAGTTCTTCATTTAGCTCTGACGATTACAGTCATGGAAATAACCTGGGTATTTTGCATCTGTGTTTTCCTAGCATCTTGGGTGAGTAGAACTTGTAAGCGATATTTTGTACATGTATTACATGCGGATATAATAACATTTATACTTTTGACACAGTTGTAGAATATATTCATATTAAATTCATCACCAACTTCTCAAATCGTTTCAACGTGTTTTATTATAGGGAAAACTAGTTTCTTAAACTGGGGAAATGTATACAAAATATTTTTGGATCTTAAAGCCGTCTTGTTAAACATAATGCGTTTATGTAACAACATTTTCTCAGTTGGAATGTGGATGAAAAAAATAATTTAAGTTTTAAGCCAAATGATCAGTGACAGTTTAAGTTATGTCATCATTTATAGAACTTTGGTGAGAGTTGATTGGGTACGATAGTAATTCCCTGTCTAGCACTAGATTAATCTGTAGCCTGTCTTGTTTCATCTTTCATAAAAAAAGAAAAAGAAAATAGTTACACCAAAGTTCAAATCACTATCTTTCACGGAGTTAACAAACCTGAAACTCAATTACTTTGAATTAGCCGGGATTTAAAAGTACCAGTGGATCCAGATTTATTGGTATATTATTGGTTTTCATTTTTAATGTTACGAATTTAGGGCTATGAATTAATTTAAAGATAAATTTTGATTCTTAGAAAAATAGAAAATAACAAAAAATGAAGGACAATTTATTTATTGTTAAATGCAAAGTTACATAATGGGCTATCTGTGCTTTACCCATCACGCATCAAAACCCAGTTTTTAGCCCTCAAACTCATCACTAAGCCACTGGGGTTAAAAAAGACAGAATCTCATAGCATATAAAACTTAATACTGGTTTTCGTTTTCAAAATAGCAAAACAAAGACTATGATTAATTGCAACTTTTTAATGAATATTTGTAAAAAATTACAAAACCAAAAAATGATTTGAAGTATATGTATAAAAACCACTGAAGTTTTTAACATTATAAGCTCACTTTGTAGCATTGCAGTACGATTATCTCGAAAGTAAGTGACAGAAACTTGAAATGACGATTTTCTCAGAATAAGTCTTCTTTTAATCTAAGTAATATAGGGCTTAAAAAAAGGACCTTGACATTATTATTTGTTCGAAATCAACTAGTACAGCTTGCAATATACGAGTTACGTATCATTTTTAGGGCAAGGAAGCTCTAAATAAAGACTATTTACAAATGACAAATATAATTTCAGTGACAACAAATAGGAAAAGTAAATAAGTCTTAACATATTCGTTTGTTATTTAATCACTACGTGTGTATTATGTCCTCATGAAAACTAAGTTGATAATAGAAAGGAATAAGGTAAATTCTTACTTACAGCACTTACATGTAACAAATCTAAAACGTTTTACCACGGAAATGTTTTGACACGAGAATTTTTTATGATTATCTGATGTTCTTTACTAGTTATTTTTATTACTTACTATTGTTTTTATATACGTCATTACCTGCATATTAATATTACTTAACGTTTGTTCCGTTAAATGGTATATGTTTATTTTACAGAGGGTAACAATTATTTGAAATTTATTGACCGTTCTTGTGTTATATTCTGTTAATTAGTCAATAGTTGATACACACGAAGGCCCTTTTCTCAAAGAAAAAATACGAAGGTGACAAAATATAGAAATAATATTTTTTCTATTTTATTATTTTTGAGCAAGCACTCTTTTAAGTCACAAATCTAATTTTCATTACAGAGTGTGGCCAAAAGCAAAATTATTAAGATGAATTATCTCAAAGTAATTTACTTATGTCTTTTTTATGCTTAACTTTGGATTTTTCATTATAACAATGCTATGGATGATCTATCAGATGCAGGTATTTATTAAATAGCTTAACTTTGGATTTTTCATTATAACAATGCTATGGATGATCTATCAGATGCAGGTATTTGTTAAATAGCTTAACTTTGGATTTTTCATTATAACAATGCTATGGATGATCTATCAGATGCAGGTATTTGTTAAATAGCTTAACTTTGGATTTTTCATTATAACAATGCTATGGATGATCTATCAGATGCAGGTATTTGTTAAATAAAAAAAAAGTACGTTATAAGCTCACTTTACTAAGACTTAAAAAAGATTATAGACAAGCTAAAAAATGTGGGCTTGATAAACGAGCTAGTAAAGTTGGGCATTTAAGTAGAAACAGAAGACTAAACCAGTGATTCTGAAACGGGGCATGACCCCAGGGGAGGTGCTAAGTGTATCCTGGGCCGTGAGAAAGTATCGAAACGAAATTGAAAATACCGCACACACATATTTATTGATAGGTAAGTAGTATCTTTCATAAGATTTACGTCAACACACGCACACGTATATATATATATACATATATGCATGCAGTTTGTAATATTTAGCGATACTATCACATTGGACTTCTTACTGGTATAGGTAATGTGTTGGGAAGAGGATGGATGATGTTGTCTAAAAATAAAAGTTTGTTTTTTTGTTTTTTTTAACTACTATTATGTTTTGTAGCTCATGGGTGACATTGGTTTTATAACACACCGTATTATACGAAGTAAATAAGTGTCTTCCAATCGCAGAAGTGTAATAATGTTTGGAATTTCGCGCAAAACTATTCGAGGGCTATCTGCGTTAATCGTCCCTGATTTTAAAGTGATAGACTGAAGGGAAGGCAGCTAGTCGACACCACCCATCGCCAACTATTTACCACCGAACAGTGGAATTGATTATCACTTTGTAACGCCCCTATGGCTGAAAGGGCGAGCATGTTCAGTGACGGGATTATAACCTGTGACCCGCAGATTGCGAGTAGAGTGCCTTAATCACCAGGCCCTGACAGCATCAAATGTAATAATAATAATAACATGCTCCATTTATTTTTTATCCATGTGTGACTAGCATATCCCATTAGTTTAAAAACTAATAATGTTATTCGGAAAGTTATGTCCTGTGTACAAATTAAGGGAAACTTCATACATCTTTTTAAATGTAAGTAGATATGCTCGATATATTTTTTATACAAATTGTATACGTAAACATAATTTATGGAATTAATGTTCTTGAGACTTTGCGGGATAAAATTATCAGAGGGGAGAGAGGTTGTTTGATATATACTGATACAAAAAAAAATGTCACGATATATATAGAGAAACGAGCTCTCTTTCTGAGGACCTCTAGCTCAGACGTTTCAAACCAGGATCACTCGGTTCTTAGGACTGACTTAATGATGTTGCTGCACGTGTAGTTATCCATACGCTATGTTTTTGTTTGCCAGAGGCACGAGCGAGTTGGTATCTTGATTCGGCAGGAAACACGTGTACAACGTCATCAGATAAGACAATGGTCTCTTGTCGAGATTTAATGGCGGTACTCTATGGAGTAAACGAGAAGAGGCTTAAGTGTTCGTTTTACTTTTGCAGAACAAGCTAAACATGTGTGTGGATGGTAAAGAAAAATATACAACCCGCCACCAGGAACATAAATGTGGAACATAAACAAAAAACTAAATTTTCAGCAGCAATAGAATGGTTCGTTAACTGCAAGGAATCAAAGAGGTCGTTGAAATATTAAATTTTATCTTAAATTAAAATTACATGGCAAATTAGTTAACTCTACTCGCAGGCGCTTCTAGGAAGAATGTACTAATGTTAATATTGTATGACATGAAAATTCTTGGAGCTTTTCTTCAATCTTCATGACAGTTAATTTTTAACAAGTTTCATTTCATACCGTAGATGATTTTAAGAATGTTACGCCTTAATGTAATGTTTAAAAAACGAACTAATTCAAACTCACTGACCTTGACCTGTGTGTTTCATTTTATAAGTTAATAAACAGATTGCTAAAGTTTATTGCTATGGCTTAGAGTAATAACTCTTTAGAGTAGAGTGAAATTTCATTGTCTGTGAATGAAGCTCTCTTTAATTTTGAGCTAATATGGTAGAAGGAAGGTCGCTAGGCAACAGCATCTACCGCTAATTTTTGTGCTACTCTTGGCTGAATGTCGCTCTTATATCCCACGTACAGCTCAAAAACACACACACACACACACACAACAAAAACATTTCCAACAATGGTACACTAACCATAAATCCTCAGATTCACAGTCAGGACAGTTAAAACTATTAGGACACTTCTGGCCGGGGTATAGTTGCATGTTTTATTTCATAAAATCACATGGAAATTAAAACAGGTCGTATTAAATAGTTTATATCATGGTACTGATATGAATAAGCGTTTTAAGGAAAATAAATCATTAGTTACCCTTGCATAGTTAACATAATAGCAATTTTTTTTCATCTTATTCTCGGGGTCGCTCGACAGGTGCGGTGATCGATGACCTTATTCTCAAACCGTGTCTAATCAGCCCCCCCCCCTCTCCAGCTAACTTATCACGTGATTTCCCATACTTGCGGTGACATTGGACTGAGCATGCATGTTTGCACTTTGCTTGTGTCTCAGCACGCAACTTAAGAACAAAAAATTAAATTTATGAACGATTGTATTAATAACTGCAAACATTTCTTACGTTCTTTGTTCAAACAATGTTGCTTTTCCTTTTAAATGATTAGTTTACAAATGAGGAAATCTCTGACACTAACAAAATAAGATACATTAAGCCCATTTTGGTATGAATGTTTTTCATTATGTAAGAATTGACAATTAAAGGTAATCTTTTTCCATAACAATGCTTATGAACTATACATTTAGATATTTGCGTCTTGCATGCACTACTTACTATTTTTACTAGAGCTTATTTTGCATTGTTATCTTAGCATATGGATTTAATACCAACTGAAATCTCTTACGATAGCCGCACTTCGTGAGAAATTATTGGGTTTACGGCCAAAATATTGTTAATAGCGAGGATACGTTTGTTTGTAATTAAGCACAAAGCTACACAATGGGCTATCTGTGCTCTGCCCACATCGGGTATCGAAACCCGGATTCTAGCGTTGTAAGTCCGTAGACATATCGCTGTGCCACTGGGGGGCACGCGAGGATACGCAACTGAAACAATGTATTCCAATCTTTATAAATAAACTACATCCAATTAACTACACTCATTACCAGCTTGATTGTTAGTTTTGATCTCAGTTGGTAGCTTTCTCTGAACTGAAATTACTATTTCTTAAAACAACAGCTATATTTTGCTTGTACCTTACAAATATATAAATACTTTTAGCTCTTATTTAAAAATAGACCACTTTAAATGTTGGTGTAAGGGTAGTGCCATCTATTAACAGCTATGAACATTTATGAAATGTATGCAAAAATGACATGTCGGAAGACAGGTTCATGTAAATGTACATCGTAATTTATAGCTCAATTTTCTACCTGAACATTCAAAAATCGCTTAATTTGTAGTTGTAATTATACATACACTGAATGTGGTTATTTTTACATTGTTACCCATTTCAATATATCAAGCTTACTACTAATATTTCTAAGTAAAGGATTTATTAACTTTAATTGTATTCAGAGGTTAATTTCTAATAAATATTATTCATAACTGACGGAGAAAAGACTGAAGAAGGAAAAGTTAGTACCTACAAACTTATGACGTTATGGAGTAATAAGCAAACGCAGCTATTAGTCATTAAGTAAAAAACTGACGTCTTGGCTCTATGGTTCATGCTATATCAGTTTTAAAATGTCGATTCTGAGAATCTAAAAAAGAAAAGACTAATAAAGCTGGAGAAGATAGTGAAACTGAAATGCCTAAGACTTAAAGAACAATAAAAACTTTTCATGTATAATATTGGTAAAATTATAAGGACATGCTTCAGTGAAATTGTCTCATGGGTCGTATCAGAGGTTATCTCGCACAATGAATGCAACTGACAAATTTCTTTGGGACATGAGTCACTTGAAGCTTATAATATGGTTGGTATCCCCATTCCTCCCCTTCCCCCAAGAACGAAGGTCTACCATATTAAAGCGCTCAGATTACCGGGTTTCTTATTTTGTGATGTATCAAATGTTATTTTTCCCCTCCACGGAGAAGATGTTGACTTAACAACTTAACTTAACTTACTAGTTTATCACCAAGAATGATAAATAAAAACGTTTCATAGTAATTTGAATGTTTTTATACTTTATTTTTATAATATCGTGTAAACATTATTGCCAAAGAGGAAATCTTTATTGTTTTCATCATGGTATAAAAGTTAATAAACATATAGTTATTAGAATCTAAAGGCATGGATGATTACGTGACAAGAGCCAATAAATTTACATGTTGTTATAAAGGCAACATGTTTTGAATCTGTGATATTACCCCCCCCCCCCCAATGGCACAGCAGCATGTCTGCGTACTTACAACACTAGAAACCGAGTTTCGATACCAGTGGTGGGCAGGGCACAGAGAGTCCTTTGTGTAGCTTTGTGCTCAACTTCAAACAAATAAACTGATATTACCAATTAGTGTAAATTGTATTTTTATCGTTACATCTGTTGTCAACGTTCTATGTACAATAGACAAATTAAAACCACACGCTTGTTCTGTCAGTCGATTATGTGTTACTAAATTTTGTTTGTTAATGAATTGATTAAGATTGCTTATGTTTTCGAAGTAAAAAATACTCTTTGGTTAGCATTAGTTGTTTCATTTACTACTTTGGAAAGGAATCAGACTTTCTAAACGTAAATCAAAAGTATATTTTATAGCATACAGAGTAAACGGATATTTCTTGAGCAGTAAAACTTTTGTTGAGATTATTTCACCATATATATTCGCTTACGCCTAATTTTCAGTAAACTAGACAATAGTTAACGTGGATAATTGAATGTTAGCGGAAAATATTTGCTACAATAACGATTTTGTTATACATAAATATATTGTTATTTTAGGGATTAAAAATAATCCAACGTTACATCTCATCAGTCCACAAGATAATTATCTAAAGTCTATGGATTTGTGTACTCTAATTAATCCCCATACACGCTATACAGAAATTATAAAATTAAAATTGTGTTAGACAGTAATCCCCCTTTTAAAACAAGAAAAAGCTGTTCAGACAAATACTAGTCTTTATCCGATTTAAGTTTATTCAAAAACTAAACTCAATTAATGCACTTAAAATATTTTTTGATTTATTCTAGTACAAGAAAAGTAACTGTCTAAAAAAAATTAGAGTACTTTAAAAACCATTATTTCATTCTCATTTTAGCAAAGTGGTTTTATTTTGTTTTGTGTGTTTAAATACCATATTTCAAAGTTTATGTGAAATCCGAATGTGTATTCTATCTTTTCGCTTAAAATAAAGCGATGTCTTGATATTATTGTTTCTGTAATAAACAGGTTGAAGATATTACAAGTGACGATCAGTTGAGTACAGTGCCATCTACAAACACGACAGGATGTCAGTTTTGTCCACCAGGTTTCAAAGTAGAACAGCAATGCACTGACATAACGGAAACAACGTGCGCCCCCTGCCGCCCAGGAGAGACATTCTCAGCGACAACTGACAACGAAACTGTGTGTAAGAATTGCAGTGAATGTCCAGAACACGCTTTGCTGCATACAAAGTGCAACGTGACTCATGATACGGAATGTATTTGTGAGAAAGGGTTTTACTGGGACAACGAAAACAGAATGTGTCATCAATGCGAGCTTTGCTCTCACGGATGGGGAGTAGCCAGACAGTGTTCCCCAACAAGGAATACCGTCTGCCGGAAGTGTCCACCTGGCACCTACTCTGGACTTTTGAGTGGTACCCTGGGGTGTGAGTTATGTACCACGTGCCGTGGTAACCAGGTCATGCTGCAAGAGTGCACGCCTATTCAAGACACCATCTGTATTGGTAATTTTTTCCACCATGTTATACATAAAATAAAAGTTAAAAGAAGTCTCCACTAAGTGACAAGCAGAATTCAGTAATTCGCTTATTCAAAATTTACCAGGAAGCCATTTTATTTTCTTATAGAACAGTTTCTTTCACGAGTAAGAGTTTACGTGTCTGATTTTTTTATTATATCGAAAGACAACCATTTATCCCAATCTCTATAATACATATCACGTTACGACCGATTACACAAGGTCGTATTATATACATCAAGGCTAAACTCGCTAGTGGTGGTTAGAGGAAATATGAAACGGGGTGAACTGACAAAATATCCCATATATTAGATATCATCATTGCTTTATCTTTATCCTTGGGTTATTTTTTTAACAACAGTTAATTTTTACTGACTTCATTACCCTGAAATGACAACACACGTGAATCAAGCAAAGCCTGTAATCAAGGGTTATAAAATAATAGGTGAACCAGGTAACACCCTGTAGCAAGGAGTTGTAATAGAAAAACACGTGAATCAAGCAGAGCTTGTAACCAGGGGTTATAAAGTAAGATGTGAAGCAGGCAACACCCTGTAGCAAGGAGTTATAGAAAAACACGTAAATCAAGTAAAGCTTGTTGTAACCAGGACTTATAGAAAAACAAGTAAAGCCTGTAACCAAGGGTTATAAAATTACAGGTGAAACAGAGCAAAGCTTATAATAAGGGAAATAATATAAAGGTACACAACTTTTAAAGTAATGTTCCTTGTTTATACATTTTGAATTTTGGCTGTTTATCACCTCCTATAATACACTTCATGATTCCATTTTATCCTATAAGTTGCTGTCACCCAGTATTGATGTTTTACTAAACATGTATTACTGATGCTGTAAAAAGTGAACCGGAGTTGATATCACATGCACAAGTTAATTCTAATGTATTGTTTTACGTAATACCTGGTTCGTACGTGTATTAGTTACTGTAGCAGTTATGTGCAAGTGTAGAGAGTTCTACTGCACAGGCTTGCCCATTTGTGTTCAAGGTCATAATTAAGTCGGCTGAGGCAAGCCCATTTCGCACCTGGCGGCCTCCATTTCATGACCTCTCACCAAATAATTATAGTTTCTATTCAGCCAATGAGAAGACCTAGGTTATTCCATTTTTCGATTCCGCCATCCCCCCCTGTTTATTCCTGTACGTTCGCGTTGAGTGTAGTTGTTTCTGGATTAGGTTAGTGAGTTTGGTGAAATAATGTCAAGTCTCCGTGATATACCTATGGGATATAACATTGCCTCGTTTTTAAAAATTAATATGGACTGACTGAAAATAAACGTAACTGATATCAAGTGTCAACAAATTCCAATATATTGGATACCAGAAATAATTTATATCAAGTCACGTCTTTTTTATTTGGGGGGGGGGGGGGCTTCTCTAAACTGTCTCTCCCACTCATTAGTCAGAAATCTATGAAGGGTTTCAGATTTAAAAAACGAAATGACGTGAGACTGAGAAAACGTAATTTATGGTGTGGCGCTAAAGATTTTATCACGTTAATTCAAATTATTGTAAATGAACCTTTCAAATCAAACGTAATTTTTGTGTTTTATTTTTTGAATCTTCATATTTTCTTATTGTTTCAATTTCTTCATCTTATCATTTCTGGTTGTTGATATTATGCATATATTATTTGAAACTAAGTTGAAAGATAAATTCATACCAAGCCGAGATGACACATAGGAGCCAGTGCTCAACTCCGATTTCAATGGCTCAAGAAGATGTTGAGAATTGTAACACTTTCTTCCTGGACGGGATGTTAGTCCAACGCAAATTAAGTCCTAATCAACTCCTGGTAACCATTGTTATAGCAGGGCAGCTTGGAACAATTGGAGTAAAGTATCTTGTTCAAGGACAGAACAACATGACGTGATCAACCCTCGAACTGACAACTTTCCGTCTACGAGTCCAAAGCACTAACAACACTGCCCCATTGCTTGGAATATAGCAAGTAAACACCTACTAAAGCTTAAATCGATCTTAAACAGTATCTAATAGTCAGATCCTATCTACAACTCTGTAGATATCTTAGGATCAAGCATATTTTTACGTGAAACCGCCTTATTTCTTCTGATTACAGTCTTCTGCAGTTGGCAATTCAAGAATGTATGAGGCAGACACAATAATGATAGGACAAGGTGAGCTGGGTCGCCTTAAGGTGCGCGTGGTGGGGGAGAAAATTAGGGTATCTGTCTATGCACCTTTCATTTTGCTACCTGTACATTAGAAAAACCAAGGGACCCTATATTTGTTTCTTAATACGTCTTCGCTACAAAAACGTATTTTATGACTTCTTTCACGTCACCATTTTTCCGAAATTGTAGGGCTGCATGAGGCGGCAGCTTGGCCCTAAATTTAGGAAATTACTTTGATTATAATCATATATATATATATGCAGACACTTTTGTCCACTTCTAGTTTCGCTTATAAACTCGTGTTTACTTAGCTACTGCGACACAGAATTCCAACGGGTTTTAAATCCTAGTCAAATGAAAATATCAAAATAATAACCATGGTGAAAGAAAATTTGCAGACGATTATGAGTGTCATAATTATATTTTTTGTTCTAGTTGTAGAATATTTCATTGTAGTCTTAAGTCTTACCAGTAAAAGTACGGTTAGTAAAATGTGTTTAGATTTCGAATGTAGTAAACCTAATAAAAATACATTGCAAATTTAAGGAAGTTTAACAATATCTGGTGCTTTCGACGCTAATTATATATATATATATATATATATATATTTATATAAGATAAATTTACGTGAAAATCACATTTGTGAAGGTTTTGATAAACTTTGGGGTTTTAACAAATTTCCAGTCTCAGGCCTGAATGACATTCGAAGTCATTACTTCCCTCTACATGTATGTAGGCAAACTTTTTCGACACTATTATGAAAAATACACACACGATTACCTGATCAAAGACGACTGCTCGGAACGGTTTATTATGCTGTTTTAACACAATTTTTCAACTATTTGTCCAAGAAGAGGACAACGTATTTTCACGCTTTGGTTGATCCATCTTATATAACAGTTGTCTGTAGCTCACAGATCTATAGATGATATGATCTAACATTAACTTGAGGAGCTTTGGTTGATCCATCTTATATAACAGTTGTCTGTAGCTCACAGATCTATAGATGATATGATCTAACATTAACTTGAGGAGCTACGTACAATTGATACTTATAAAGTGTATAAAGCCAGACGTTAAAAATACCTTGTTATTCACCTTCTGAAAATCGTTTTGAAGTGTTATCATGAAAGAAACACTGTAATCACTGTCAAAGAATATAACGACGCCAGCGATAAACCCCCGAGGCAATCTGGTTCTTATAGTGTAATTAGTAGAACAACAGCAAAAATAAAAAACGAACAAAGACAAGAATGAAAGAAATATTACCGAGTTGATCTGTTTTGTTTTTTTTCCGTCATGGCTTCGATATTTTTCAGCCATCAACGACAGCAGCTGTCAGGCAAATCAGAGCGATATGATCGCAGTGTTAGCAAATATTTTTCTTCTAAAACCCGCGCCGAACTGACTGAACAAAAAAATATAAAGGGAGCAGAGTTTCGCTTTCGATCCATTCCTTTTGATTTCCGACAATAGAAAACCTTGTCTCTCTATGCCCCAGGTGAACATTGTCCTTTGTAATGTATAAATTCACAAGGGGAAATACACAAAAGAAGCTTATTAATTTTTTCTGAAGTTGTCATCAGAAATTCTATAGCTTTGGTTTAATGGCGCGGAGAGGCCTGCAGGCTAGACTCTGTGCCGAATGATAATAGCTGTTCAGTCACGAAAGAAAACACGAACTGGAACTGCTTTTATAAGCACTTTCATAAAAGTTACTTAAACCTTGGTAATGCGTGACAGAGGGTTATAGAAACATGGAATGTATACAAAAACGTGCATATTTAAATGGAATAACTTACTACAAATGAAATAATTTAAATGTATCTCATGATGGCGTAACTAATGGGTGTGTTACCTATATCATCGCTTTTATTCTAAAAACACTTCAGTCATCAACGGGTATTTGTATTATTTCTTTGACTTTTATCGAATATTGTTTGGTAGTGGATTAAAAACTAGCTTCTTTGAACTAAAGATTTAATTGGTTATTTGCGCAACAGACACTAGTAAGAAAATTTCTCTTAAATCTAATCAGTCATCTATGGCCATGAACTTAAAGAACCATTACAACAATTCAATAACATCAAAGTAGAGAATATCTGAGAAACTTTTAATAAAAACAGCTTGTAAAAGAACCCTTATTTGCCACTATATATATATATATATATATAAGTACTGTATAGGCAATATATTGAGTAGGTTGCATTAATTTCTAAAACAGTAGAGCTACTCTTGATTTAATAATATATTGCTGTATGATTGTTAATCTATTTTTTTAAATGTGCACGGGATATATTCAGAATCAAACTTTACTTTTTCTATCCTTTCTTTTTTGAGTATTTTCTTATTTCATTAAATATATTCTAGCTTTTTTGTTTTTTTCATACACTAAGTCAAAATGGGCTATTCCATAGCTTAATGGTATTAAATAACAAAAATGTCTTCTATATTTTTAGTTGGAGCTTGAATGCCTAGCAGTCATCATGTCCTATTGTAAAGTAGTGTATAAATAAAAATTAAAATGCTGATGTATTTTTATTTTCTTCATTTCATATCAAAAGACAAAGATCTTCATCAAAGAAGGCTCTTGCCAACAGATCTACCCGGCCAGATGTCAAATAAAGCAGTCAATTACACTCAACACAATGTGATACCTGTTTACTGCACCATTTTAGTAGCAGTGCTGCTGGGTGTCCTGGTGTTCCTAGTGCTTCGATGGAGACTGCACCATACCAAGACCACTCACTGTAAGGAACTAGCACCTGGACACAGCCACGAAGGGTCTTTAGACTCTAGCAAAAGAATGCTTCTTGCGGAGTCAGACCAATCATTGAAACTGATCCCCGTGCAGTCTTTTCCACAAACAGGTAAGTTTGTGGTTAGTGTCAGAAATGGTTCTAGCTTTTTGTAATGTACACCTTGATCTAATAATGCATAAAGACCACGCAGACTGTTATTCCCAAAGCGCATGTAAGTTTACTGTAGGAAGCTCAGAGTTCACTTGTACTTTCTAACTAATCTGGAATCCAGGGTAAGAAGTTCGACATGTACCAGACATAGAGGTCGATTAAGTATTGTCACTTTATCATGCCAGGAAATCAGGTATATTGTTGATTGGTTCTTCCACTGTACCAAACCCAGATTCGATGTTTTGTCTCCTTTCCTTTTCATCTTGGATTCCAGACAGAATAAAAGTTAGAAGCCAAACATTTCTTTGCACAAGTCCCAGCGTAAAGGTAGATTGGTTCTTTTACTTTACTATGTCCAAACTCAACCGTTAATGAAAGCTTGTGATTAGGAGATTCCGTAAACACGTTTTCAATAAAAAACCGATAAGAAATAAAAATGGTATATAATGAATAAAAAACAAACATCAGTACAACTAGCCACTAATCTGTATATTTTCAAAATAGTTTTAAGTTGGGTACAAAGCTGAATGATTTTTATTATTTCGTTTTTAATATTATCGCAGAAAACTTTGTATTATGTGTAAATAAGTATTCTTTGTTTGGAATAAGATTTATAGCGAAAACAATAGTTTTAGGAATGAATAAAAATAACACACAGTATTAAAATAACAGATTTCATCTTTTCATCTCAATAGCAATGTTGAAAATGAAGCTTAAAGAACTCTCATCTGAAAAACAAATGGAACTGGAAGCAAGTTTAAATACCAAAAGACAAGATGGACGAGACTGGGTAGGATTAGCCCAACAATTAGGTATTTCTTTTACTCCACCTATTATGCAGTTGAAGCTTTCTTTCAGCTAGATAAAGTTAATTGGTTGCTTTTTTTTTTCTTGTGTGCAACTATTTGCCACACCTTGAAGTTATTGACATTAATTGACCACAGTAAAGGTACCCGTAAGCATCGTGCACGAGTATTGTAAAAAAAAAAAAACAATGCGAGTTTTTGTCGAAGTAGTTCATAGTTTTTAGTATAGTGGACAGATAATAGTAACAACTGTACAATCATGTATATGAAAGCTGCCTAATGCTAACGCTATTTTATCACACTGGTAGTAGCATCGTTGTCGCTTGTTATTGTTACAAAAACGTAGATGTTTGCTAGTTTGACATGGGCTTACTTACATTTCCTCTTTTTTTTTTCACTAATTTTACCTAGATCTTTGCGGCTTCAAAACTTTTTATGGTTTATAAATGCGTTCTGCCTGCGTTAAAGTTCTTACAAGAGTTATAAGCATAAAATGTCATTGTTTTCCTTTCTAAAGTATTCAATTTTATCTGTAGTTACATTAAAAAGAAAAAAAATCCATCAAGTATGTACCTTGCATTTTGAGGAAACATTTGTCACATTGATAATTTTTTTATAAATAGTAAGGAAATCGAAAACTGACAAATGATGTTATAGCAACAATAAAACTAAAGGAATTAGGAGCATTAAACAATCTCTGGTAATCGAAGAATAGCTACATAGAATAATGGAAGAAAACTCTTGGGCGGCCTTGTAGCATCACCTAATTTTGATTTGTCCTATCTGTGGGTTACATAGGCAGAAAATTCCAAGCACAAATGAAGTTTTAATACTAATATAGTTAATGATGTGTCACGTGAAAATAAGAAAGTACAATTAGCAAAACTAACCGATATAAGAAAACATGGTACTTTAATAACGCCTGAAGTGTCTAGAATTTGTGTAATAAGATATATTTTAATGAAGTTTAAGAAGTTGGTTATCGTCGAAAGAAGTTAACGTATTTCTATGTTAATACTCCAATTACCTATTTGTAAAATGTTAAAACAGAACTTTTACAAGTAGAACAAACAATAGAATTAAACGGAAGCAATCCAAATTATAAACAGATGAAACGTAATGTAAGCGCTGTTCAACAGTATTCTTTCTTAACATTGTAAAATAATAAAGTTATTAGGATTGTATTTAGTATTACAGTGGTCAACACATTGATTTTTTTCAATACACTTGTTGGTTTTTACTTGCATTTATTGTTATTGTGACCACACTTAAAATAGTCTGTATGTAATGGCTATATTCCCCTTGTGTAATTTTTCTTCTCTATAAAATTAGTTATTACATGCTCGCTATTAATACTATTATTAATACGCCTATTATTTAACCATCTTTTATTCATAACAGTTTGCGATATCTTTTGTACTTATGTAGTTTTTAACCTAAAGGAATATTTAAATCAATAATTTTTTTGTTTTTTAATGATAATTTTAAATGTACTTGTAATTTTTGTTTATAAAAATGTGTGTTTGAGAAGCCTCACGGAAATTAATAAAAGTTTTGAATCTTTAACACTTTATATTAATCTAGCTTCTACTATGCAGTGTGACTTAAGTACCTTTTATTTTTAAACTGTATTCAGTGCTAGTGTATAATGATGACAAAAAGGTTTACTTTCATATTGAACAACATTTTATAAAGGTATATTAATATAGATCTGGTACAGAGGCGTTGCTAGGTCCTTAAAAGATTTAGGGCTCTGGCCCATTGACGCAGGAATTTTCGGCGTTTTAGTATGATATCGATCATAGATTTCTATTATTTTTCAAGACACCAACTAAGAATTCGGGGCACAGGCCCCCGTATGCCAGTGCTTAGCGACGCCTCTGACTAGTTACATAGTTTTTGTTATTGAAATTGCATAAAAAGGGAGTATTACAATTGTTTTGCAGTGAGATTTATATTTTGGAACAAGATACCACAATTTGTAGATAAGAAGTGGGTTAAGGTATATTATTATTAAATTCTGTAAAAAGCAATTTCTTTCCTTTTGTTAAAATTATATAAAATGCTAATACTAACATTTAGTGTCAGTTTATTTTGGGGTACAACACACATCAATTTTTAAGCTTTTATACAAAAGACAAAATTAATATTATAATACGGCTATGCAGTTGAAAATTAATGAGTATGAAAGAAATATTATATGCAAGAAAAGTGGCCTACACTTCGTTAGCAGCGGCACATAGTGGCAAAACAGTAATTGCTAAGCCATACACTAATGCTATTAGTAGCTACATACTATGGTTTTGAGTACATACAAATTCTTTTGCAGGTAAACCCATTTAATTTAGTTAATACTAGCAATAATTTTCTTGACTAACTCTAATTAATGTTAATATTTCTCAGGTTACTCCAAGTCTAGCATCTCAGTATTTGAAGACTTGGGAAATGACAAGAAAGGGCCTGCACATGAAATGCTAATGGACTGGAGCCACTCTGAATATGCCACTATTGAGGTTCTCATTAGAGCCTTGGTAGGTTTGGGGCGTATGGATGTCGTTACTCTACTTCAACCAACATGTGAGAGAGTGTATTCTCCTCTTCATCCAGATTGCATGGTGTGAAATTCAACAGAATATACTGCTGTGTTGTTAACAGAAGTGGATTGGTGGCAATTTATTTCACTCTTATATCAATGTCCTCATAACCTTCAGGCGGTTGTTGTGATTTTGAAATACTTATGGCCTTTTCCACTTGTCCTAAAGCAGATGGTGAAGTCTGAAGAGAAAACGAAACACATAACTTGAAAGAATTATGGGTAATCAATTATTGAAGATTACGCTTTCAAAGATCTGAAATGGTAACCATAACTCAAAAATGTTATAATGAATGACTAGCAAAATCATTTTAAAACACTAAAAATACATAACAATATTGCTGCTAATTTCAAACCAAGTAACTTATTAAATTCAGTCTTTCATCTGAAAGCAAGATAAATTGTTTGTAAAGTTTAATGGTCAGATCACATTGTAACATAGTTTTCTATGCCAAATCTTTAATTCCTAACTCTCATACTGGTTCTTTGTTAAGAAATCTAGTTTCCTCTTTGGAAATAAGTATCTCGTAAGTACAATTCAAATAGTTTCCTCTGTATTTAGGTTACATTTCAAATTACAGTAATAATGACTATTGTTTGTGAATAGCTATATTGTGCTCAAGCAATATTCATGTGTAGTAATACATGTAATTTAGGTAAAAACAAAGACTGATACATTACATATTTTTACCAATAATCTCTAAACATCATTACATGCTTTTTACATTTCAACTATAGAGCTAAACCAAAGTTAAATTCTTTATCTGTAATAAAGTTCATTGCATCTAGGTATGAACTAAGGTTAGAAAATTGCCGAAGTTTTACTTTTTTCAACCATTTGTATTACTAACGTTAGGTTTCAAATAACATTGTCTTCATATGTATATTCATTTGTGAAATTTTTTCACAATGAATCCTGTCATATACAAGGTGCTCTGTATTTGGTTTATTACAAAAAATCTCAAAAAAAGCTAAATGTATTGGCATAAAAACTGTGTAAATAGTGTAAATAATGTAAATTTTGGTATTCTTTTTGAAATAAAATTTTGAATGTCAAATCTGTACAATCCATGCAAAATATCAATTTCACAGTGGTGCTACATTCAGAAAGCAGAGATCAAAGATTAAAACAAGAAAATTAAATTCCAAAAATATTTTAAGGAATGAAGTAAATGTTTACATATTACAGTGTTCTGAATCTAATACAGTTTTGGCAACAATTACATTATGACTGTTGTAGGTAAGAGAAAACAACAGTTTTTAGGCAGTTCCAAAAAAAGAAACATTTTTTTAAAGAAGAAAAATCAGGACATTTTCAAATGCCAAAATATTTTTATTGAACAATTTCATAAACAGTACACAATAAGGCCAAACAAAATTCTGATTTGCATTTAGACATTCCTTAAAAATCTACAGTAACTTAAATAAGCAAGAAAGTACCAAAAGTAGGGTCATGTATCATTACTAGGTTAACGTTCTTGTAAATTTTGAAATGGTGAGACACTCCTACTTGTATAAATTCAATTAAAAAATAAAGCAATTGATAAAAGAAGACAATTGTTGAGAAATAAGTACACATTTACTGATTGTGAAAAACAACAAAAAAACCAAAGTTTTTGTCTGAACTAGTATCTCTGTTTAATACTCAATCTGCAATCTGTTCAATATCCTTATCTTGACTTGCTATTTCACCTCAGTCTTTGGTTTCTTTTAATTCAAGCAAAAAATTGTATTTAAGTTTCATTTAAAACTTAAAAAAAAGGAACATGTTAAACTACAGCACCTTTTTTGTTGCATTTATTTGTCAGATTCATATTCTAAAACAAAAATACTTTATTGTAATTTACAAAAAGCTACAAATTAGCCATCTCTAATTTTGAAATGATAGACTAGAGCAAAGACAGCTAGTCAATACCACCCACTGCCAACTGTTGGGCTACTCTTTTCAGGCTGAAAGTGATTTGACTTTCGTTCTCATAACATACCCATGGCCTCAAAGTTTGGAGTGCATTTATTGGTATTTTTATTCTTTGAGATAACTGGACACTGAACCACAGCTCAAGTCTGATATGATAACCACTAGACCGCATTCAGCCCAATAAAAATAGTTTTATAAAAATATACAAAGGCAATATAAAGCAGGCCAAAAAATTATTTAACCTGTCCATCAAATTCTTCTCTTGGCTGCTTACAAGCCGAACACTGTTTTGTATTTTATTGTATTGAGCTGTCATTTTTTGTTTCTCTAAGCTAGTACCATTGTTCAACAGTACACAATAAATACTAACACTTAATTTTGCTATCTTCTATAATGCAAAACCATTAGTCATCACTTAGTATCAATTTTTTAAATTAGTTTCTAAAATGTAGTTTCATACTGCACTCTATTTAGGCAAAACAATTCAAGTTACATTTCTTTCAAACATACACAAACTTCATTCAAACCACACAAAGTCAAACTAGAGTAAAATAGTTTATAACCTGCTTAACTAAATTTACACCTCAGTTAAGTGGTACATACAGCTTTGCAATAGGAATATACATACATACATATATATATATATTTGTGAATCAAGGGATACCTTGCAAAAAAAAACCAATAAAAGAATCTAGCCTCTTCTGTATTTTTTTTACACTGTACCTTTTTTTATTTAGAAAACATTAAAGTTCTCTTTAACATATACAACAAAAACACAGAACAATATATATAAAACTAAAAGTAGGTTAAGGCTACCTGGATTTGTCTATTATGTAGCTTCTAGTCAAAACATTTCCAAGACTTGTCATGTTATTTTAGTAGCCAATGTGACCCACTGAAGTCTTAATTATTAATCAGTAACTAATAATTCAAGACCACTAATATTTTAGAGGTTCCAGTGAAAATTTCTTAATATGAAAACTAGAAAATTTGAAACAGAAATCCAATTAAAATTTGTGTGACAGAAAAAACAACAGATGTTTTTGAAGTTAATTTTAATTACACTTACTCAATTTGATTATTAAAATGATCAAAAGGATTTTATGCAATGAATATCCTGATTTCTAGTATCTTATCACTGCAATAATTATGACAAAAATATTCCTAAATAAAGGTAATTGAAATGTTATGATAAAAAAATTCCACTAATAAAATAACACACCACACCAATTGCAAAACATAAGAATTTGGAGAATCATATATTAGATACACCTGTTTTTATCCATGTGAAAAATGATGAATGATTATACATTAAGAGATAATAGTAGGGAATTTGTGAGTTGCCAAATTCACAATTTTACCTATTTCTAGTTTTTATGCTTGAAAAAAAAAAGATTAGTGATTACTACTGATAACGATATTACATCTGATACAAAGATATAAACAGTACTTTATCATCACATATAGCTTCAATGAATGTGGAATACATTTTTTAGGGTTATCACAATACACATTTCACCATTCATTATGAGAAATAACTGAAATATAAAAACATCATCATCAATAGTTCTTTATTCAAAATTGATCTGTCCCACAAGTGAAGTATGTAATAGATAATACAATAATCACTGAATGCCCACTAGAAACCAGATGTAATACAAGTGTCTCAGACTATTGCCTTTTTTCTTTTTTTTATCTCTTTCTGTTTCCACTTTGTTTCATAACAGGAAACTTTACTTTTAAACAGACAGAAAAAAGGCAATATTGGAGTAAAAGAGAAGGCTATTTGGATACTAAACGCTATTAAGATTTGAGCAATCAGATAATCATCCACACTGAAATAAAATACCTAACAGAAACATAGGCAAAAAGGTTATAAATGTAATTAAATAATACCAAACCGTTATCTGCAAAGTTAAAAGTAACTAAACAGTAACAGTTGGATATGAAGCTAAAGCATCACTCTTAAGCATGAAGTAATTATTTATAAAGAAATATAACATGACAAGATTATAAGAAAGGTAACTTAATTCAAACAAGTAGTTTAATGTATGAGCAAAAAGAAATATAACTACAGCACATCTCTCGTTTAACATGAATCTTGTACTAAATACATGTTGCATTGTTCACAAACCAAAAAATACCAGACTCCAAACAGTTTTTGCATGCTTTCCAAACTCTCAGCTACAGTCGTCTTCTAAAAATAACACAATGATTTGCCTGGATGGCAGACATTGCAGCAATATCTTGACAGTGCATTCTCTTATTTAGTTTCAGTGAAAAATTCACTTATTTAGTTTCAGTGAAAAATTCACTTATTTTTTCCAACTGTAGTGAAAGTACATAGCAACTTGTAGTTAAGGTTGAAGGATATATTTTACATACAGTTTGTGTTTCCACATATGGATATACAGTCTCAAATCCTTTAATAGTTGTCGTTTTTTACACAATTTACTTAGTCAGTTTTGCCACTAGATATAATGTTTTCCTCTTTCTTGTCATCAAGAGGTAATCTTGGAGATAGTCGAGGTAAGCAGTCTTTTTCAATGCCCCTTGATCCATTTCCAGTGTTGCTATCATTATCTTTACAGTTGCTTGGCTGTTCAGTGGTCTTCCATTTAGCCACTTCTTTAGGGCTAGTTTCTGAAATGATACAGTTCAAAAGTACATTCGTTTAAATATCCCTTAATAATGAATGAAAAATTTAATATCATAAACAGTCCTTCTCATTCCCCAGTATCTGGCACATTCCCCAGTATTATTAAGTGACAAGTGAAATTAGAGGATTCTTACGCCATTTTCCATCATGTTTCAAATGAACATTATTTTCCTCATCCTTTCCTCCATTTCTGTAACTCTTAATGGCCAATGCAATTTTGTCTGTCTGTGCGGTAATATTTGATAAAACTGTTTTAGAAGAGAGAGAGACCAGAGCTTTCTTATAATGACTAGAATAATAAATTTAACATATGAATAAAATACCTGACAACCTAAAATACTAACATAATTTTTGCCAACCTGTTGAGGCTCACTGTCCAACTTTCAAATATATCTGGTTACGTTTGACACAAACTAAAAGCTGCAAGTTCCTCTTCATGACCTCTTTCATCAATTCTGAATAGAATTGTAAGTTTTCTCGTGTTCTCACTACCACAGACATAACAATCAAGAAACTGTCTTTTTTGGGACCTTTTTCATCACATCTTCAAACCTATATGTTATTCTATCAGCTAATGGTAACAGGGAGCTACAATAAACTATTAAATTATTAAGGTGAGTTTAAGAAGGGAAAGGAAATATAGAAAAAAGTTTGTTTTGAATTTTGTGCAAAGCTACCCATTCCTAATTTAGCAGTGAAAGACTAGAGGGGAGGCAGCTATTC